AGTCGCAGAAATCATCGATTTTTCTAGCCAGTTCTGTTCGTGTGCCTGCTCAGGGCCTCTGCACGCCCACAGTGGCTTTCCTTCCCTCTTGCTGCAGACTCCAAACCATGCGCTCCTAGGCGCGCTGTCCGCGGGCGCCGGGGCGCAGCCGTACCACGGCGAGAAGGGCATCTCGGTGCCAGACCACGGCTTCTGCCAGCTCATCTCCATCCCGCTCTGCACGGACATCGCTTACAACCAGACCATCCTGCCCAACCTGCTGGGCCACACCAACCAAGAGGATGGAAGAAATGAGACATTTTAGAAGCAAATGTCATTAATCCTTCATATTACCTTGAGGCAGAAACGCCCAAGTAAATTAAAAATACCGTCGTGGATGTGAGGGGGAGACGGATGCTTTGGAAGAAAACGATGAGGATTCCTGTTGAGGGTCCGATGGAAAAATGCAAGCGTCTGGTGCCTTACGTTGGCCCAAGTGATTCAGCCCTCCAGTCGCATTAACAGGAGTGGGGAACGACAGAGAACTGTGGAAATAAAGGAAATAAAAGGAACACCGAGGAAGCCGAAGTCTCCCATGAAAGGGAAGGAACCCAGTTAATTGTCTTATAGCTTTCGGGATCAGTTTTTTCCTCGCTAGAGAAGAGGCTCACCGGGGGCAGCAGAGGCAGCAACTTCTGCAAACACGAAACCCGATCAGAAACCCCTCAGGGCTCCAGCGCCAGGAGGAAGGGCTCGGCCAGGAGGAACGTTTGTAAAGTATAGGATTGCTCTGTGACTGCGTGTGCGACAGAGAGCGGCAGTCCTTTCCTTTCTCAACATGTCACTTTCCTGCGTGGGGATGCCTGATGTTCCCGGCTGCCCCGCGAGAGGGGAGGGGCGCCGGGACCCCCGCCCGCGCGCGGTAACTTCTGACCTCGCCTGGAGGAACCCGAGAGCGCGCGCTGGCGTCCAGTGCCTGGAGCGGGGCGAAGATGTGACGGAACAAAAGGACGCTTGCCAATCAGAAAACTACCCGAGAACTAAAATTACCTCTCTTTGTGTTTTTGAAAACTCTTTAACTAGCAAATGCCCTGTTTTCTAACACGCATTAAAACTTTTCTTCCCAGATTCCAAACAGAGGATCAAAGTATTGCTTCTGCAACTAAGATGGGAAAACAGGGCCATTGAAACCTCGCTTTAACCCGTACAGAGTGTTCCGAGGCACTCGGGCTCGAGGTACTTGTATAACCATTCACCCCCAACGCTTAGTTTTCTTAAAACCTCACTAAAGCTACCCCCGATCCCTGTACTCCGGGCCGTGCGCGCGGGCGGGGTAGTCTGGGGCCAGGGACCCTTGCTCCCGCCGCTCTCGGAGGAGGGGTCTGCCCTTCCTCCCGCCTTAGTCGTCTCCCTCCTCTCGACTCCCTTTTCTCCTCGCTGCGGCCCCTCCTCCTTTTTTTACAACCCGGAGTAGGGGAGAGAGGGGATTGTGGCCTCACGTGGTGTGTTGGG